GAATTCAGTTGACTGGACATGATTTGAAAAGGCATACGCCTGTCCATATAAAGTTGAAAGTGCATGTCAAAGCATAAAGCAAGCATGAAGACAAAGGAATTGTCTTTAGACCTCCAAGACAGGATTTTCTCAAGGCACAAGGCTAGGGAATGTGCAGAAAAATGTCTGCTGCTCTGAAAGTCCCAATGAGGACAGTGGCCTCCATCATCAATAAGTGGAAGATGTTTGGAATCAGCAGGACTCTTTCTAGAGCTGGCCGGCCATCTTAGCTGAGTAATCAGGGGAGAAGGGCCTTAGTCAAGGAGGTGATCAATAACCCGATGGTCACACTGTCTAAGCTCCAGCAATCTTCTGTGGAGAGAGGAGAACCTTACAGAAGGACAACCATCTGTGCAGCAATCCACCAACCAGGCATGTATGGTAGAGTGGGCAGATGGCAGCCACTCCTTAGTATAAGGGCACAAAGAAAGCCGCCTCAAATTTGCCAAAAGCTCATCTCCAGGCTAATACCATCCCTACAGTAAAGCATGGTGATGGCAGCATCATGCTGTGGGGATGTTTTACAGCAGCAGGAATTGGAAGACTAGTCAGGATAGAGGGAAAGATGAATGCAGCAATGTAGAGAGACATGCTGAATGAAAACCTGCTTCAGAGTGCTGTTGACCTCAGACTGGGGCAACTGAGTGGATTCACAACAACTCGGTGAATGTCCTTGAGTGGCCCAGCCAGAGCCCAGACCTAAATCCTATTGAACATCTTTTCATTAAAATTGACATATTAAGGGATATTGTGTGCAGAATTTTGAGGAAATAAATGAATTTAATCCATTTTGGAATAAGGCTCTAACATAAAAAAAATGTGGAAAAAGTGAAGCACTATGAATACTTTCCAGATGCACTGTAGATGCAAAAATTGAATTATATAAAATCAATCTTGTCAGTGAGAAAAGAAGGAATGTGAATGGGGAGAATACAAGTGTTACAAACACACTGCAGATCTAGAATCAGTTTATTCTAGAACAAAAATCACCTCTGAGACCAGATGGTTGTCCTCAACCTGAAACAATGAAGTGTGAACAGCAGCATTTGTTAATTATCATTTCGTTTCACTGCACGTTAATCTGCAAATTAAAAAAAACTGAGTATGCAGGTTTTTTGTTGTTGCAAGAACCAGATGTAAATAATTGTAATCATCTTTGTAAAAAAAAACAAAACAAAACTGATATTTCAAGCTCAACACAAACTCTGACAATCTGTCAATTATTTTATAGATAAGCAGAAAGAGAGAATAACTTCCAATGTTTACACAATGCTCTCCACAATCTTATACATATATTTAATTGTCGTCTTTTTGTACACATTTGTAGTCTCCCTCTTAGTAAGAGCAAATATTTCACTTATTATTTAAAAAAAAATCATTTGAACAAAAAACACAACTGCCAAATGCTTTTTTATATATATAAAATAAGAATATAAATGTCAGTCTTACCTTATCTCCTTCTGCTTCTTCCTGTGAATCACAGAAAGAGTAACATTAAAAAATAAAAAATAGTATTACAGAAAATGATGTATTTTTTACATTCGTTTTTGGTATTTTAAATTATATTCAATACTCTGTAAAATTACCAATGCTATCTGTAAATTGGCATACAAACTGGCTGCAATTTTAAGTACTATATACCATTAAAGAGAAATTCTCTTGGGTGGTTAGCACAATCGCCTCACAGCAAGAAGGTCCCTGGTTCAAGCCTTTTTAGGTCAGTTGGCATTTCTGTGTGGAGTTTGCATGTTCTCCCTGTGTTCGCTTGGGTTTTCCTCCTGGTGCTCCAGGTGAATTGGGTACGCTAATCAGCCTCCGACTTAAAGCACAAAACTCCAGAGAGCAGTGCACGTCAGACCGTTTATCAAGGATGTACTGCTGGATGGTGTCTCACTATAGTTGTTAAACGTGATATTTAATTAATCTTGTCTCTATCTAATATCTCTTCGGTCTTTTGAATCTATCAGGTAACAGCATCAGTACACTGCTTCAATCTTTTGCTTTTACGCTTGTAATTAACGTTTGTAATTTTAGCAAAAACCTCAGATACTGTTAGTTGCTGTTGGTTGTGGTTTCTTGGCGTAGTTATAACAACACAGATCACTCTGCCTATTCATGCCAGACTCCCGTGGAAAAAGTGATTGACAGGTGGTAATTTGTGTGTAACTTATCTTTATTTGTTAATGATTTGTTTATGGGTAAAACAAAGACTATGCGGGTCAGGTAGTTGAAATGGTAGGCTACAAATAATTATTCGCTTTGAATTAATTAATTAATTGTTCATAAATAATTAATTCACCGCCGCCTACGATGCGATGTTTCACATTAGACATTGTACAATGCCAAATTGGTCGACATCGCCCAACCCGAGATCACAGTACACTTTCTTACGTTTGCTTTTGAAAACACAATTGTGTTGAGTTTAGGTCAGTGATTCACTGGTCTACGTGATCTGTACATTAAGACTCACGTTTTACTGAAAAGTGAAACAAAAAGTATCCTAATGCCGAGTTCAGACTGGATGATTTTTGCCAGGATTTTGACTCGCCGACAGGTTTTGAGAAATCGCAGGCAAATCGGTGCTCGTTCATGCGTGTAACAATCGCACAGTGAGAGCTATCAAAAACATAATCTAAGGGTGCTTTCACACCTGTGAATCGATTCAGTTGTTCCGAAACAGAGATTAAAATTGTTACATTGTTGCTCTTTGCTCTTGGAGCGGTTCGCTTTCACATTGCAAAGTTTCTAATCGGACCAAAAGAGCTAAAACAAGTCACGTGCGAGTAAACTCTCCTTACATTGGTCAGAGTGTCAGGGTTTATTTTGCAGCGTCCCGCTCAGCTGTCAGGGAGGTGGTGGTTTGGTGGTGATTGACAGGGTGCGCGCGTGTGACGTGTCTCAGGAGAGATGCGGTGGGGAGGGGTGAGAAGGGTGCGCAACGATGCCTATTTGAGGACTGGGAGAGAGACGTAAGATTACCGGGAGATCATCACTCGTTTGCGGGCATCCGGAGACTCGCGAAACTTCCCGCCCTACTCATAATTCTCTCTTCATATAGCCGTATGCCTATTACATATCCATAAAACACTGTGATATAAGCGCGCTCGGATCGGATCGCTTTCTCACTGCAATCGAACCGCTCCAGGGTTCATTTCAATCGAGCCGAGACCACCTCACTCAAGCGATCTCGGAGCGATTACTTTGGCGCGGAACAGAGCGCGATTGCCCTGTTCACATATGCCAAACGAACCGCCCTAACTGGGCAAACGAGACACGTTCCAAAACGAAAGTGTAGGTGTGAAAGCACCCTAAGACAATCACAGATGAGTCGCTGACACCCTAAGATACATGGCATGCTAAATATCTGGACCTGTCAGCCATTCAGAATCATGCCGTGTAAGAGTGCTTTCACATCTGTGGTTCGCTTCATTTGGTCTGGACCAAAGGCAACAAATGATGCATTGTAGCATTTTACTGCCATTTTTCACACCACACTGATTGCTTTTGGTCCGAACCAGTTGAAAAGAACCAAAATGCAGTCATGTGACGTAATCCACATCACTCATAGGCCAGATGTCATTGAACGTATTTCCTAAACTGCTTTTCGATAGATCAGAATTATTGTGCAGGAAAATGCCAATGGAACTCCTGCAAGTAAACAAACCACCAGACACAAAATGTCTCCTTTTACTATAGAGGGACGACTGCGCTGACTGATTGCATCCCTGGTCATAGTATACTATATAGTTTGTATACATCTCTTTAGACAAACCATTCATTTCGAGAATGAAGCACGGCTGGAAAACGATGTTTAATGCATTGCAAATTGTGAAGGCGCTTCGCAAGTCACTTCAGGAGGAGGCGTGAATTAATTTCAATGCAATGAGCCTAGCTTGACATTTTTATTAAAAGAAAAAAGACTTACCTGCTCTTCCTCCTCAGCTGGCTTTCTCTAACAAAAAGAAAGGGAAATATTAAAATGAGCAAATCACACAAGGCAGAAGCACATTTACTGAATAAACCCCATACAATCTACACACTGGCAACAGAAAGCACTAGCATGAACCCAACTACAAGGACGAAGATGGTAAAGGCGGATGTTAGATGTTAATTTCAGGAGAGATTACGGGAGAACCTGAATAAAGAAAATTGAGATGGTCAATGTTTGAAGCAAAAAAATGTGATTAAATGGAGGAAGAATGAGCAGTTATGGGAAAACAAATGATGCTGAGGGGTTAAATAGAAGATTTTGATGGACAGTTACACTCTCTTCCTCTTCTTCCGCAGGTTCCTCCTCTTCCTCGTTCTCATCTTGAGCGTCTGTCTCTGCGTTCTTGCTCTCTTCGTCTTCCTCCAGCTCTGCTGTGTGTGCATCTCCATTTTGCTCAGCCTCTTTGAGTTCTATTTTCTAAAGACACACACAACTCATCTCAGGACATTCAAAATTAAAACAGTCATGACACTACAGGAAGATACCAACAGCGGAGGATCCTGGGAAGTTTTTAAAATGGAAGAAATGGTATTGAACTGGGTTTGTTTGTGGTGGAAAGAAAGGGGAAAAAATGTGATAAAGAAAAGAGGGTTTTGTCATATTAGAGCATGGGAAAGACATATGAGAAACTGCCATTATCAATCAGTTTGTAACGTTGAAACAGCCACAAAAGGACATTTCTATCTTTCAAGAGAAAATTGTAACATTTTAGTTTAAGTAACAATTCACACCATTTACTGTTGGCTTATTACCTGCTTATTATTAATATATTAACTGTTTATTAGCATAAACATATTAAAGCATAATTTTATTTTACATCTCTAAACTTACCATTACCTAAACCCAACCAACCTTACTTACTATTAATAACTAATTAGTAGTTTGAGCTAAAAATAATAGTAAATAGTTTGTAATAGTGTGAATTGTACATTAAAAATAAAGTGTGACTAATAAAACACATTTTTCAAATAAAGAAAAAGAAAGTAAAAACTTTCTAAACAAACATTAAGGTTTCAATAATTTAACTAGTAACTTCATAACTGGAAATACAAAACATATGGTTACAAGTGCAATGTACAGTTAAAGTCAGAATTATTAGCCCCCCTGAATTATTAAACCCCGTTTATTTTTTTTCTCCAATTTCTGTTTACTGGAGAGCAGATTTCTTCAACACATTTCTAAACATTATAGTTTTAATAACTCATCTCTAATAACTGATTTATTTTATCTTTGCCATTATGACAGTAAATAATATTTGACTAGATATTTTTTAAGACACTTCTATACAGCTTAAAGTGACATTTAAAGGCTTAACTGGGTTAATTAGGTTAACTAGGCAGGTTTGGGTAATTAGGCATGTTATTGTATAACGATGGTTTGCTCTGTAGACTATCAGAAAAATATATGGCTTAAAGGGGCTAATAATATTGACCTTAAAATTACTTTTTAAAAATTAAAAACTGCTTTTATTCTAGCCGAAATAAAACAGATAGTTCTTTCCCCAGAAGAAAAAATATTATCAGACATACTGTGAAAATTTCCTGAATCTCTTAAACATTATTTAGGAAATATTTTAAAAAAGAAAAAGAAATTCAAAGGGGGCTGATAATTATGACTTCAACTGTAATGGCATAATTTAACTGGGAGAAAAAAAAATAGTTAGGAAAAACTATACAACATTTGAACCTTTTTTGTATTAGAAAAAGTTAGAAGGCATGCCTGATTCTTACAAAATACACACCACACAAGGGCAAAGAATAAAGACAGCATGCTTGATGTGAAAACATTTTTTGTGGTGTCTATGTTTGGAATGGCATACTGACGTTTGACATTGTGCTCCTTACTCTTTTTTGGGGTAACACTTGACAGAGGGTTTTATTTGCTAACATTAGTTAACTAATTAACATGCACTATAATATTTGTATATCATTTAATGAACAGTTAACTTCAAACATTTGTGACCCTGGACCACAAAATCCATCATAAGTCGTTCTTCCAGATTTATTCATCATCTGAAAATATAAATAAGTTTTACATTTCGACCACCACCCGCTGGAGGGACTATGTCTCTCGGCTGGCCTGGGAACGCTTCAGGATCCCACCGGAGGAGCTGGAGGAAGTGTCTGGGAATAGGGAAGTCTGGGGTTCTCTCCTAAGACTGCTGCCCCCATGACCCGGCCCCGGAAAAGCGGCAGAAGATGAATGAATGAAGTTTTACATTTTTGATGTGTGGTGTGTTATTATAGGACCACTTTTGGCCAACACACAACTATTTGAAAATCTGGAATTAGGTGGTTAATCACCTTTAAAGTTGTAATTTTGAGGTCAAGAGTCGCATTTGTTATAATACTTTAAAATTAAATGTTAACAATAATTAATTCACTTTGAACTAACATCAACAAAGACATTTTAGCAAACAGTAAAATGGTTAATATATGCAATATATGTGACTAATTCAGGTATGTGTACAAACAAGACTCTGCTGTAAAGTGTTACTTTAACATCCAATTTCCATTTAATAAACACTTTTCATTTTTGAGCGAAAAGGTTTTAAACTATTGGAGGTTAATCAAGCAAAAGCATATGTCAAAATCAAGGATGTAATAATACATTATGGAATACACTGAGCAATTTTGCGAATGTAAGTTATACAGGGTTTCTGCAGGTTTCTTCAAATCAAATTTAAGACTTAAAGGGCACCTATGGTGAAAAATCTACTTTTCAAGCTGTTTGGACAGAAATATGTGTAGGTATAGTGTATAGACCGTCAAATTGGGGTGATATAAACACACACAGTACTTTTTTTTCAATTTAACAACATAAAAACGGTGGAACAATTGGAGCGGTTTTCAGACCGATCGCAACTTGACGTAGGAGGGCGGTCCCCCCACCTACCGAATTGATTGACAGCTGCGTAACATGTCCCGGTAGTCACATGTATAATCATATCAACAAGAGGGGACGAGCGCAAAGCAACCGGGAATAAAAGGTCTGTTCAGTTCGCTAGGATCATCAATCATCATCAAATGTGATCAAGAAGAGTGAGTTTTACAAGTTTAAAATGTTTTAAAACAGCGCATGTATGTAGTTACAGCTATTTACTTCAGCTTTACTTCATCAGCACAGCCAAGTGTCAGAACAATTATAAAAGAAGACGCTTCAATCCCGGTTTGTGGACATTAAATCAGGTTTATTTTGTAATATGACAGATATTCATACAGCAGCGGAGATTAACCTGTATCCTGTCACATTTGTGTGCAAAACATGTGCAAAGCTAAATGCGCTCTGTCTGTGTGTATCGTGTCCGTGCTGTCTATATGTGTGTGTGTATCTGTGTGTGCATGAACTTTGTAACGACATTGTGTGTGACTCATCATTGTAAATCAACACAACAAATGCACCGAATACTGATTGGTAAAGTTCTTACAGTGGTTTTTCTCACAAACGCTACGTGAGATCTGCTTCTTTTATGCCAGTTTGTTGTCTGACGCAGCCGAGGGAGGAGATTAAGGCACGCAGAAAGGCACATAGAAACGGTGGGCGGAGAGGACTAGCCTTAAAGGCGCAGTACAGCAAAACTGCCACCCAGTGCAAAAACTGTTTCAATTAGAATCTTGTAAAAGGTATAATAAAAAATCTGAAAAAAGGGGTAACCTAGGTGCCCTTTAAGTCTTTAACCCTTTTAGGACCATTATGAACGAAATTTTAGACTTATACAGGGCTAAACACTAAGGATTTTTTCTAATGGCCCAGTTATTTCTGTAAATAGTTTTTGTATTAATGTAAGATCATGTAAATTGGACAATATGTGATTGGGTGTTGGCCAGATTGGGTATTTTTACTTGTACAAACGGAAATTAAGACCTGTTTAAAATGATTTAAGACTTTCAACACAATATTTCAGTGAATTTAAGACTTTTTAAGGCCTAAAATTTAGTTTTTTAAATTTAAGACATTTTAAGACTTTTTAAGACCACACAGACACCCTGGTTATAGAGGACTTTTTGTCAAATGTCAAACAGTTCACATACTGCAGAGTCAGTGTGAGTTGTATATACCAATCCCAACATAGCCTAGGTGTTAAGTTGCTGTGAAGGACAGGTGAAAAGAAACCTAGTAAAAAAAAAAAAGCAGACGCAGAACAAACAATGAAGTGCAGGGCTGACGTGTGTCTGGAAGTGCACCGAAATAGTTATAAATGGAAAGGTTTGAATTAAGTTAAATCTGTATTACTGTTGTGTCATCATCAGGATGCTCTTCTGTGACAGATCCGTTCTGAAGCTTTTGTGAATTTTCAGCTTGTTGTGCCTCCTGCACCAAGAGAGATTTTTAATTAAAATTGAAAAATCAATTTCAATCCTGTCAGCAAGGGAAAATTCACCAAAAAAATGCTTAAAAAAAGAAAAGAAAAAAAGAAGAAATGACAAAGACAGAAAAACACACTTTCACAAGGAAAATCACTCTACTAATGTTAATGCATTGACCACCAAATAAACCCCTGGTACTTTTGTACCTTATTTTCAACCCAAGCTCATTAGAAACTCATGTCTTAGTCTACATTTTGGCAAAACGTAAATTCCGCTGCACATTTCAGATTTAAAAATCCACTAGAGGGCGTTGTCTACATTTGTCGATCTGAAATGCATTGATTAGAGTCCAGTTAGTTGTATGTTTTAGTTACATGTCCTTCTTGTACACATTCATGAGAAGGCGAAGCTTGTCGTACAGATCAGATAGAAAGGTAAACCACTGACTTAGGGCATCCTTACACTACGTACAGTTGCCTTGAACTGTGCCAAGGCACACTTGTCCTCCCTCCCTTGTCCCCCGACGGCCTGCACTCACACTACATCTGAGCCGAAGCACACCTACATCATTGATGCTGTGCTGTTCAGTTTAACAGAAAGAGAAGCGCTCTCGCTCAGCACAGTGGACATTGCTTTAGTTATATCATTTTAGTGGGATGCTTGGACACGTAGTCTAATATTTCTCTGAGCAGATCAGCCACTTTTGACGCTCATAACCAATTATAAAGTCCTCATGCTGCAGGAATTAGGAGGTTAGCTGAAGGTGCAGCTGTCATGCAGCGAGGGGTTTGCGACTTTAATAAACTAAGTTTGTGTTCATTAAACAGTAAGAATGACTAATAAATCCATATGAAAGTTCTTCAGTTTCAGGCTCAAGCACACTTTGCACTCAAACTACAAGCGTACCGCACCAAAGCCCAAGTGAACCGCGCTCTGGCACACCTGAACCGCGCCTGAGCCCGATTCAGAGCACTCACACTTCTCAAACGAACCGGGAAACGGTTCGGATAGCATAATGAGTGCGCTCTTAAACTCTTCTCTAACCGAACCAGGTGTTTTCAAAAGCAACTGTATAAGAGAAAAGTTTAGGGGTGTGAAAATGTCCACAGAATAACAGCCTGTTGTAAACACTAGCGTAGCCATGTCTGAGAATATTCACCATTTTAATTGGTCAAGGGCCACCCACTATGTTATTTGACTGACAGGTTAACCAACCAATCACATGTCGTTGTGTGCCGTGGCATGTTTTTTGAGAGGAAATCTCCTCAGAATAAGAGCCCGTCATGAAACCTTACATCATTCATTCATGAACGTCTTTAAAGGTTTACAACAGCAACAACGCAATATCCTCAATAATCTGTCAGCAAAACATATAGAAACTCAGTAGGACATGTTTGTAGACTTTGTTCTGAGATTCATTAATTATTTTGGTCACACGTTTCTACATAAATATCACGCCGACTGAGATGACAGATGAAAGTTTTCTTTGTTCTATAAAAGCAATTTTGGTTGTATTTGTGAGTGTCCACAAATAAAAAATACTACTATTTTGAACAATGTCTTTCTCGTATCTTTATGACAGAAATGACAGAATATTTGAAGGTTTTTCACTGCCATTCGATAAAAACTAGTATATCTGCATATTTGTCGACATCACGAGTTGAAGCAGTCATGCAGTACATAATTTTAGTACTCCAGTGTTTAAGTTAACTTAATAAATGCTCTTGTGAGGATTAAGTTATCCTCACAATAATAGACAGATGTGCAGGCAGTAAATCACTGATGAATAATTGTCTCAGAAGACGTTTTTACTTATATACACTGAAATTTAACCTAGAATTTGAAGACTCCTGCATGTAGGTCTATTAATGAGCACTGTCATCAATATAAACATCACAGCTTTTTATCCACCCAGACTTGTTTTTTAGGTAGACTGGTTGTGTACTCGACTCCCGGAAGTCCTGTGTGTTTAAACCAATCAGAGCACTACTGAGGATCTGCTAAAGTGTTTCCAGAAAAGTGTGGGATCTGAGGCATAGACTATACTTCCCAAAGTGTTCATTTTACATAGAAATTACAGTCAAATGCACTTTAAAGTACATTTTTACAGTTTATTTTCATTCATTCATTCATTTTCTTGTCGGCTTAGTCCCTTTATTAATACGGGGTCTCCACAGCGGAATGAACCGCCAACTTATCCTGCAAGTTTTTACTAGATGTGTCAAAATTAATTGTTTTTTCGGTGCACTGCGATGCGGACGATTCGGTATCGGTTCAGTAATAATCATAACCGGTTATTACTGACGTCATTTACCTCATATGCGCTCTGTCGCGAGGGAAGCGATCGCGAGTATTTACATCGCTTTAACTACTTAAAACTCACAATTTTACTGTGTGTGTTTGCTGGATCAGTTTTTTACTGACATATACAACAAAACCCCCTATTTCACTGAGATCGAGAGAATGAAAGTAGCCTACTCCATTTCTCTCTCTCTCTCTTTCTCACACACACACACACAGTGGCCCATTTGACCTGCTGACGTGGCTTTTCTTCTCTTCTCGGCTGTTTTACAGCGTTACTTTTGCATACAGAAAGGAGCGCGTGTCTACAGAGTTTTCTCCACCGTGTCTATCATACATCAGCTGTGAGATTGCCGCTGCCGCCTGCCGCTTATCAGTGTCACTCATCTGTGAAGAACGCAGCGCGCAAGAGCCAATCGCAACCGTTTTTTTTTGAGGGTGTGACCAATCAAAGAGGTGTAAGAGAAGACAAGGATCTGATCCTAGACAAGGATCAGAAAGTGAGCTGGATATTTATATTTGTTTATATTATTTGCTAAATGCTTGTTTTGTTTAATGTTACAGTTTATTTATCTGACTGTTTGTATTAAAAGACAAAATACAAATAATATATAAATGTATTCATACATTTTAATACAAGAAATGCTACTGTGAAGAAATAAAAACCTGTGTACGGAAAGCACCGTCAAAGCACCGTGATGCACCGAAATATCGAATTGAATCGAATCAATGGCATGATAATCGTATCCGAACCAAACCGTGACACTAGTGTAGGTTCACAGCTCTAGTTTTTACGCAGCCGATGCCCTTCCAGCCGCAACCCATCTTTGGGAAACATCCACACACATTCACACACAACGGACAATTTAGCCTACCCAATTCACCTGTACCACATGTCTTTGGACTGTGGGGGAAACCGGAGCACCTGGAGGAAACCCACGCGAACGCAGGGAGAACATGCAAACTCCACACAGAAATGGCAACTGAGCCGAGGCTCGAACCAGCTAACCCAGCGACCTACCTACTGCGCCACTGCTTCGCCACAGTTTATTTTATTTTATTTTATTTATATAAATTGCAGACTGAAGCACATTTTCCAGTGAGCCTGTGTTGATTACTTTATGATTCCAAGAAACCTGCTTTTCTATACTGGCTTTTATAAATCAAGTGATTTGATTGCTTTTATAAGAATTCATATAATGCATGTTTTGAATGAATTTAAGGTGGTCAAATGATTAAATAATTCAACTTTAGCCATTAAATTCTGTGTAGTATAACTGTATAACAGTATTTCATCATTTGCATCTACTTCAACTTTACTGAAGTGAGGTTTTGGTGGTTGGTCGATATTATACTTGACTAGGAAAAATTGGAAAAAAAAATTCAACCAGAGGCAGTATTTGCATCTTGGTTGCTTTTTGAAAGCAGTTGTTATGACATTGTTATCACTTTCAAAGAACACTGCACTTATTTGGAAATAAATTATTATGTTAAACATTTACAATTTTACAATTGTTGAATACATTCAGATAAACTCCTAAACTGGTAAGAGCACTTTTAGCTTAGCTTAGCATAGATCATTAAATTGCATTAAACTATGGGCATCTTGTTAAAACAAATTTAAAAAGAGTGATCATTTTCCTAAGCTTGACTCTAATTATACTGTTTACTGAGACCAACATATATTGAAAGGATGCCATGTTTTAGGTTGACATGGCTAGAAACTATCCTATACTTTCAGGTGTAAAGATCAAGGAACTTTCCTGCTGTATAATGGCTGCAGCAGAGGCAATGATATAGGGGAATTACCAGCCGCACATGGTCAATGTCACACATGACGTCACACGGGTTCAACCGTGCATACCGGTTGCAAAAAAGACCAGTTGCAATAGCAAACATGTCGTGTTGTCGGTGATGCCAAATTTGAAAAATAGATAACTTGAATTTTACCGTACATCACACTGCTTTTAATGCCAACCGCAGACTTTTAAGAGCTGAATGGAGTGAGGACCTAATTAAAAATGCTCGACTCTGCAGTTCTCATTTCATATTAGGGAAGTTCACGCTATGCTGTATCATAAACATTACTCTTTTTGATTGCAGCAATGATTTCAGCATAAACAGGTAAATATGGTGAATTAAACTGCGGACACTGAATGCTTAGAATGAAATGTAAAAATGAATGTTCACTATCTTACACCCTTGCGTCTGAAAAAGATTTATAGAAACTCCTCTGATCTTTGTTTTAACTGCAAAAAATCCAAAGGAACATTCCTTCACTGTTTCTGGTATTGTGACAAAATCATCTCTTTTTGGGAAAAAATACATCATTTTCTACAAGGACTCTTTCAGATAAAATTCCATTTTTTTCTAGAATTGTATTTGTTGTATGATGGAGTTGAGAATGTGTTAGAACCCCACACCAAATACCTGTTTTTTATTTTGGTCTATCTGGCAAAGAAATGTCTCCTCAGGTGCCTTCCTTTAAAATGTGGCCACTTGTTCACTTGTTCTCCACTTGAGAAACTCACTTATGACATACACCAAAAGTCAGATGACTTCTGGCAGTTATGGACACCTTTTTGGCATTACATCAATAATCTCTCCTGAATTTCTACTCTCTGGTGTATGTGTGTGTATGTATGCATATGTGTGTATGTGCATGCATATATATGTATATATATTTTGCTCCTAGCCTGACTGTATTACCATGTTTACTTGTTTGTATATTTCCCCCTTTTATATATATATTTTTTTACTTTCCCACTGTATGACTGAGACTGTATTTGTATATGCTGATGTATCGAAATAACCGAAAAAATGAATGTTCACATACCCTGCTGTACAGTTGCAGTTCGCTGTCAGAATGCATTTGTTTAGCTTGCTGATGATTACCCAGGCCTTGTATAGCTCCGTCTTATTTTCTTGTCTTTGGCTAGGCAGAATCTCGTTTTAGCACTACATTGACTACATTGAATCATGGAGCATTGTTTCTTGCACATGACCACACAGAACAAAATTGTTGGCATCCAAAGCCTTGTAGGCCTTTAACTTCTCTCTTGTAAAATCACTTGGGAGTTTCAATGAGATGTATATTTGGGGCTGAATGCTTAGCTATTTCATCTTATCCAATATCCATAAGCCGCTCACTTTAACATTAATTTTGCAGAATAACTGTGCTGATTACTGGGTGACAAGCTGTTATAATACGCTGAAAGCATTATGTAAACAATATGTAATCAATATAACTTATCTCTAATACAACAACAAACTCTGTACCGCATCGGATGTCATTACCTCACCGTAAAAGCTAGCGCTCCCGTTTTTTTTTTCCTGCAACCTCGCTGCGCGCGCATGCTGAATGTTTACCAACCGGCAGTGGTGGAAAGAGTACTGAAAAATCTTACTCAAGTAAAAGTACCATTACTTGCCTAAAAATTTAGTGTAAGTAGAGTAAAAGTATCTGTTGTAAATAGTACTCAAAGTATGAGTAAAGAGTATCCCTTTCAAAAGTACTCAAGAGTAGTGAGTATTGACTATTACGCTTTTAAAAGCTGATGCGTTTACATGTAATTTGTGCATGTAAACGTAACATTCTGTAGTGCATCAAGTTATTGCCCAGCAGGCACACAACGTCATAAGATATTAACATCAGGTTAGATTAAGGTTGTGATGTCATTCATTCATTTTCTTGTCGGCTTAGTCCCTTTATTAATCCGGGGTCGCCACAGCGGAATGAACCACCAACTTATCCAGCAAGTTTTTACGCAGCGGATGCCCCTCCAGCCGCAACCCATCTCTGGGAAACATCCACACACACATTCACTCACACACACTCATACACTACGGACAATTTAGCCTACCCAATTCACCTGTACCGCATGTCTTTGGATTGTGGGGGAAACCGGAATACCCACGCGAACGCAGGGAGAACATGCAAACTCCACACAGAAACGCCAACTGAGCCGAGGATCGAACCAGCGACCTTCTTGCTGTGAGGCGAACGTGCTACCCACTGCGCCACTGCGTCGCCAGGTTGTGATGTCAGGTGACCAAAAATCAATTTCTAGCCAGCGTCTAAGAACAACGCTATTTGTTCAATAACATCAAATGACGTTGATATTTGGTTGACTTTAGGTTGTGTTGGAAAGTGACCAAAATCCAATGTCTAGCAAACAACTTAAACCAACGTCATTTTGGCATTAAATGCTGACACTTCCATGATTTTCATGGAAAAGCAAAATGCAACCTTCTCATGACACTGGGGTAACAACTTTATTCTAACGTCATGTTGACATCTTGTGCCTGCTGGGTGTTTAAGACCATTTCTATGATCATACAGCAAACATCCGTCATCTTCTCATCAGTGACTGCATCTTTACAGTCTCTGGGTCAATGCATGGAAAGATTTTAGACATCTTGTACACTTTTAAAGCTTCCAAACAGTTTGCTGCAATTATAAAGCGCACAAGTTTTGAGGTAGAGTTGGATATCGTTTAGGGCTATTTCAATACCGGTGTTAAATCGATACTTTAAAAACGGTACCGGTGCCAAAATGGTGCCTGAACCGATACTTTTTAGCCATAAAAAATATTTTAAACATTATAATTGAACAATATAAATATTTATTTATAATCAGTTTAAAGTAAACATCAGTTCATAAGTTATATATTTGAATTGCATTAATATATTTCTTTTGATAACCCTATTTTGAGGTAGTTCATTATGATGCGATTTACCTTCTATGTGAGATTTGATTGGACAGGATTCACAGGACTGATTTTCCTAATCTCCATAGACAAGAAAAAATAAAGTAGTAACTGCAGGTTGAAGAAAAGTAGTTAAAGTACTGAGTACTGCACTAAAAATGTACTCTAGGGAAAGTAAAATTACGCATTTTTAAAACTACTTACTAAATTACAATTCCTGAGAAAAACTACTCAATTACAGTAATTTGAGTATTTGTAATTAGTTACTTTATACCACTGCCAACCGGTAATTCATCCATAGTGCCTGAAAATAGTTCCCAGCTAGGTATGACTGCAAAGTTCCTTGATTATTACACCAGAATGAGATTATAGCTCCTAGCCATATTGACCAAATTACAACTCGTGAAAGGTTTGTAACAAAACTTCCCTGTGCTCCTGAGTTGTTTTTCAAAGCCTGTAGACTTTGATGTAGATTTGTATGTACTTTTTGTAGAGAAAATCAAAGTGATGTGACATTTACAAGAAACTCTAACACTCTCTGAAACACAAAAGTAATGCTTGTGCTCATTAACTTCTAGATGTTCATTAACAGTATAATGTAGCAAATGTACTGTATTCTCCAACATAGGCTCATTCTGAAAACGTAGTCCTATATACGTTTCTGGAGACCGCAAATCATGGAGCCAGAGCTATGTTTGGCTGCATTTTATTTTTTAAACAAACTCTATGGGGCGGTATGACACTGGTCCTTTTCGCGATACCAGCCGACCGCCTACCTCCATATGGACGGCTTACCCACTGTAACCAGTTTGTCTAGATAGCTCGACATGTATGTTAGCAGACTTGAGACGCAGAATGGAGTTGACCACGACGACGGGGTTTAAGTGTCATAAAGAATGGTTCCAGAATGCAGGCAAGACAAAACCTGAATCCAAAAAATAAAATAAACAAGTAAATAACAAAATCTGAAAACGTGGTAAAAATCAGACAAGCGCTTTTCTTTTTCTGGATTGCTTTTGAAAATTGTTGGTTGGGTTTAGGTAAGTGGGTGGGCGGGTCAATCAATAAAATTGGTTGGGTTTAGGGAAGGAGGAGGGTGGGTCAGTAGATAGGTCGGTCAGTCAGTCTGTCAGTCACACAGTCAGTCAACAGCGACCTCTGGTGGGTTTATGTGAGAACAGCAGGCGCGAATGACACTTGCGAGAGAAATTTAAGATCTCAAAAGTGTACACAACGGCTTCCCGTGGATTTGCGAAAACAAAAACGGCAAAAAAAACTTACCTCCTGGGACTTATTACCCGGTCTCCAGAATTGTATACAATGGTATGTTTTCAGAATGAGCCTGGGTATTCTCAATAAGTTTTTGTCAACAGTTCATTTAATGGCCACTGAGGTCGCTAATAATAAGGATTTTTGGATTCAAAATAGTTTCATGTCAATAGAGAAAACAAACACGTACACACACACACACACACACACACAAATACAACCTTAGATCCAGGTGGAGGAGTCAGACCCAAAAATTCATAGACTGTGTTGTCCTCTTTAGCATCAAAGAATGTGTCGTAGTCCTGCAAATCAGGATAAGAAACTATCAACTATTAGCATTAAAGTAGCAAAACAACATCAACTGTGAAAGTTCAGGCTGTGTTTAGGGAACGTTAACATTTCTGTTAAACGTATCTTTAAAATAATGTAGTCAATACAAGTTATAAACACTACTTAAGCACAGTAGAGTGTGAATCTATATCTGTCACTGTCAACAAAATTCTTAAAATTTGAAACTGTTCTAGTTTTGGGAAACTGGTAAATAATGTTTGTATAATCCTATTTTTGTGTACATTTGCTTGCACTATGTTTTTGAAGAGGTTTAAGGGAGAAGTTTATTTATTTGAACTTATTTTTACCACTTTGATATGTTATTGCAACTTTTAGAAAAGTTATTTTATGAAACGCTCTACTGTAGCCGGCTCTTACCCCACAATACATCTCCTCGTTGAAAATCTGTGGAGGAAGAGGAATTCCATTGGTGGGCTTCTTTTCTCCGGGAACATTTTCCCTCATCCACGCTCGGTTATCCTCATTTGAAGCAATGTCAAGCTGTGCGTAATCGATTTTAAGAGCCTCAAGAAAGCCGACAACATCTTGCTGCTTCTTTTTGATCTGTGGCATTGGTTATAAGAGATTAATGAGTCCAAGAACTTACTTTTTTCAATTCAAAACATTACAAACTCCTAAAATGCGAATGGTAGTAGGTACATTTTTAAAAAAGCATTTTAAAAAAATAAATAGGTCAAAGATGAAAAAAGAATTTAAAGCATCAAAACAACACAAGTGTGATAAACATCTATTTAATCACCAATTAAAGACTTCAATGTTCAAAGTCAAACAATGTTTTCTGTAAAATATATGATTAAAATGTCATTTAGAGTAACAACAGTTTATCTAGCTAACAAAAATCCTCCTGAAATCCTCTCAGACATATTTAAATACAAATTAATTGCTATTTTTAAACCTTTATACCTTAATTAATATTTTTTAATCATTTTACCAATTTGTCGCCAAGCCTTTTTGCTGTTGTTGTTGTTTTTCTCAGAATAGTTGCTGGCTATTTATGTCCAATGTGTTTATTCAAGTCAAATGCACAGGGGCAAATTTGTAACACTTTTTAAAGGGATTTTGTGTAACATATTTTGTACATTATGCACCAAATGTTACAATCTTCAACTTTTCTCTTCTACAAAGTTGCTTTGAAATAGACCTCTTATGCTTAAACTGCATTATATTATGATGGCCGAGAGAGTTTAATGCGCTGCAATTTAAGAAAGCACATGCAATTACAAAAAACACCAGCACATAAAGAAACGATCCTCATCAATTTGACAGCACACGTGTTGCAAATTCTTACAACAAAAACAACTAAAGAAGCAATAGGTCACAACACAAACAACTTAAGAAACATGCAGCAATTGGTCAAAACACAAACAACTTTAAAAAACATGCAGCAATTGGTCACAACACAAATATTTTAAGAAACAAGCAGCAATTGGTCACAACACAAACAACTTAAAAAAAAACATGCATCAATTGGTCACAACACAAATATTTTAGGAAACATGCAGCAATTGGTCACAACACAAACAACTTAAAAAAACATGCATCAATTGGTCACAACACAAATATTTTAAGAAACAAGCAGCAATTGGTCACAACACAAACAACTTAAAACAACATGCAGCAATTGGTCACAACACAAACAACTTAAAAAACATGCAGCAATTGGTCACAACACAAACAACTTAAAAAAACATGCAGCAATTGGTCACAACACAAATATTTTAAGAAACAAGCAGCAATTGGTCACAACACAAACAACTTAAAAAAACATGCAGCAATTGGTCACAACACAAACAACTTAAAAAACATGCAGCAATTGGTCACAACACAAACAACTTAAAAAAACATGCAGCAATTGGTCACAACACAAATATTTTAAGAAACATGCAGCAATTGGTCACAACACAAACAACTTAAAAAAACATGCATCAATTGGTCACAACACAAATATTTTAAGAAACATGCAGCAATTGGTCACAACACAAACAACTTAAAAAAACATGCATCAATTGGTCACAACACAAATATTTTAGGAAACATGCAGCAATTGGTCACAACACAAACACCTTAAAAAAACATGCATCAATTGGTCACAACACAAATATTTTAAGAAACAAGCAGCAATTGGTCACAACACAAACAACTTAAAAAAACATGCAGCAATTGGTCACAACACAAACAACTTAAAAAAACATGCAGCAATTGGTCACAACACAAATATTTTAAGAAACAAGCACCAATTGGTCACAACACAAACAACTTAAAAAACATGCAGCAATTGGTCACAACACAAATATTTTAAGAAACATGCAGCAACTGGTCACAACACAAACAACTTTAAAAAACATGCAGCAATTGGTCACAACACAAACAACTTAAAAACATGCAGCAATTGGTCACAACACAAATATTTTAAAAAACATGCAGCAATTGGTCACAACACAAACAACTTTAAAAAACATGCAGCAATTGGTCACAACACAAACAATTTAAAAAACATGCATCAATTGGTCACAACACAAATATTTTAAGAAACAAGCAGCAATTGGTCACAACACAAACAACTTAAAAAAACATGCAGCAATTGGTCACAACACAAATATTTTAAGAAACATGCAGTAATTGGTCACAACACAAACAACTTAAAAAAACATGCATCAATTGGTCACAACACAAACCAAACCATGACGTACCCTGCTGAGATATGGATGTGTTATTATGTCATGACTGTTGCTCTGTGAACTGGTGGTGGTCTTTGAAAGAGGAGTTGCTTTTCGTTTCGTATCCTGATTACACAACATAATAACACATCCATATCTAAGGATTCATTTCTAACATACTTAATTATTTGCACTTTTCTAACAAGTCAAGCCATGAAATAAAACAAGCTAAATGATCAGAATCATTCAATAGTATTGAATAATAAGTAGATTGATTACAGCAAAATATGATTTAAGGAGGTTTTGACGTTTATAATTCATGAAATAATATAAACTGATATAAAAATAACAATAGTGTTATAGTCATTGACAAAAATAGTAAGATCTAAAGACTAATAATTCTGCAAAATGTTATGTTGGCTAAGTGTACATCATGTCCATGTCTTCTGAAATGTATAAGTTAATTTGAGGTAGGATTTACCAGCACTTTCCAGAATTTAGACATTAGGAAAAGATTCATTTTTAACATACTTAATTATTTGCACTTTTCTAACATGTTAAACCATGAGATAAAACGAGTTAAATGATCAGAATCCTTAGTATTGTTAAATAAGTACATTGATTACATCAAAATATAAATTTAACGATAAATTGATGTTTATAGTTTATGAAATAATATAAAAATAAAAATCGCATTCTAGTCAATATGCAAAATAGTAAGGTATAATTAACATTTTTGTAAAAAATAATAATAATAATAATAATAAAATCCTAATGTTGAAAAAGTGTACATTATGCCCATGTTTTATGCATATCTTAATGTTACAACCTAATTTAGGCTTGGATTTACGAGCACTTTCCAGTACATTTAAAGCTTTAGGAAATTGTGAATTCCTTAACAACTTAATTTATTAGCACTCCCCTTTGTTAAACATATCAAAGTAGCTTAAGAAGTTAAATGATCAGAATCATTAGTTTTGCTCGTGTTTTCTTAAAAACAAGCACAAACTCGATAAACAACACTTCTCATTCGTCAGCGTAATGAGTAAATTCTGAAAGTTTCATGTTTAAAGCCATCGCTTCTGCAGCCTGGAATGTGATCTCAGAGATATTTAAGGAAACTGGCCGAGCTGCAACTGTTATTAGGTCACTCAGGAGTATTTAAACAGGCCCGAAGTTAACACTATTTTGTTTCTAACTTTCAATCAGCTACATCGATTGCTTATTACTGCAAATGAGCATTTGAACAATCGAGTCATAACGCAATCTGTATAAAACACAAGCCGAATTAACGCGCCTCAGCTCAGTGACCAGTTGAATGACTGAACAAAAAAACACTTGCTGTCCCTGTTTCTTACCGCCGTCGATCCCGAGGAGGATGCCAGGAAGACTTTAATGACCATTTTGTGGATAAGCGATATTAAATGAGCTGTAAAAAGGGTATTTAAAGACACAGCGATCCTCCTCGCTTTGACTGGAAAGCACACGGCGCAGCAGCCCCGACTCTTGTCTATTTTTGTCCCCGGTGCATCAGCATCATGTGGCGGGATTGGTGCGTTTGTCCCAGCACCGTCTGAGTGATTGGCAATTTCAGCTGTCTGTCCACATCAAGAGCTGCTAAAGTTAGTTAACGACCTGCATGTATGGACATAGGTGCTTTTTTTCAGAAACTTGAAAACTAAAAATTGGAAATTGTGTTGCGCCCTTTTCTTAGTTTGTGGAAGGGCCCTGATTTTAATTATTAGATCTCTCCAGATTATTGCTCTATTGAAGTTTTTAAATCTAAGGAAAGCCCAAAGCACGATACCAACTCAATGAAACAGTAAACGCACCTAGTCTGGTACAAAATCAACCTTTCAAGAGTTCACACTTAGCTGATAATCAATAAAGCGTATTTGGCATGCTGTCCCGGGAGAGAGCCCTGAGCTCGTAATATCCTCGAGCCCGGGGCTCCCTCCCGTTAGAAGGGCGAGAGGGGAATTCGAGGTCAGGTAGGTCTCGAGAACTCCCCTGCTTGTCACCGTGAGAAGTGTAAACTCAGGTTGTATTGGGTGATAATTTGTTTTAGTCGATTGCTATGGTTTATGTTTTTAGACGGTGGGAGGAAACCGGGGAACCCGGGGAAAACCCACGCGAACACGGGGAGAACATGCAAACTCCACACAGAAACACCAACCAGCCCGATGGGTTGGACTAGCGGTGTTCTTGCTGTGAGGCAACAGTGCTAGCCACTGGGCCACCGTGTCGCCCGATCAGAAAAAGTGGGAGGATGTAGGGGTGGAAGGGGGGGAGCTTCAAGACGAAGATAACTGGAGTGGAAAACTCAGGTTATTTATAATGCTTCCGTAATCATCTAATAGGGCTGATTACGGAGCTAACAAGGAGCCAGCCGTGTTGATTATAAGCACGTGATCCTCTCGAAATTAGTTTATGAATAAACCACACTTAAAATGTACTTAAATAAAGCAAGGTATACAAATTAATGAAATAAAGGTTTATTTTAAAATAAAGCTTGTCAAAAAATTGAAATAAACATCAAGAGTCAGCATTCAGTTTGGGTAAAGCTCAGAAAGTTGTCTAAATAAATTTAAAACCCAAGGGCAAATAAAAAACAGTTCACTGGAGCCCGAAAAGCAATCCAGAACTGGAGCTACGGTCCACAGAGGAATGGAAGAGAATCACAAAAATGATTCATTGGATTTACTACATTTTTTAAATATAACTGGATGCCATCAAATTATATTGGCTGAATATAAACAAACAAATGAAATGTAGTAATGTTTTACTTCATTTGATTGTTTAAATTCAGCCCATAAACTCTTTGCAACCGGACAGCCTACCTGATAAAAAAAAAAATAAATCCAATAAATCTTTTTTTTTTTCAGTTTAGGGTTCGGTTTTCTGGATGTTGGTAGGCTACTTTTACAAAACCCCAGGTAAGATGATAGTGGAAAAAAATGCTAATAATTATCACCATTAATAACATGCATTTTATTAGATTTGGATTTCCCTATTAACATAAAAAGTTGTACAGTTAGACAGTTATACAGTTGAAGTCAAAACTTTTAGCCCTCTTGAATTTTTTGCCCCTTTTATTTTTTTCCCAATTTCTTTTTAACTGAATTTTGAACACATTTCTAAACCTAATAGTTTTCAGAACTCATCTCTAATTACTGATTTATTTCATCTTTGCCATGATGACAGTAAATAACATTTTACTGGATATTTTTCAAGACACTTCTGTACAGCTTAAATTGACATTTAAAGGCTTAACTAGGTTAGATAAACTAGGCAGGTTGGGGTAATCAAGCCAGTTATTGTATAATGATGGTTTGTTCTGTAGACTATCGAGAGAGAAAAAAAATGCTTATTTAAACAAGAAAAAAATTCAAAGGTGGGTAATAATTCTGACTTCAACTGTATTTCATTTAAAAATATTTTTCCTGTTTGTTCAAACTACTTATTTAAAACGAGCTGAATCAACACAATTCTTTCACAAGTTTTTTGTGACAATTGTTTTATTTTCAATCCACTTTAATAGATTTGTGTTTTTACTGTTTTGAACAGGGCTGCTATGGCAAGCCATTTTCACATTTAGTTTTAGTATATGAATTAAACTTTTGATATCAAGAAACTGATATTACAACTTGAAATGTAATTCCAACAATCAGCATTCTTGATTTCGTTTCAGTTGTTGATTTAAGTTTGTCAATATTAAGAATTCATTCATCCTGAGAATGAATACAAGTCAAAGCGGTTTGCCATAGGCTGTTGTCGTGGGACACAAGCAGGAATGTTGTCCTGGGCCCTGACTGGGGGGCCTATAGGTCTTCTAACAGGCTTAGTTCACCCAAAAATGAAAATGCTATTAGTTTGTCACCCTCATGTCAATCCCCTTAAAACCTTCATTTCATCCTGAACACAAATTAAGATATTTTGAATGAAATCTGAGTTCTATCTCATCCTCCATAGAAACATGGGCGAAATTCCAGGAGGGACAGAGGGTTGTTCATTCAAGGGTTAATTCCCCCAAAAATTGTACATATGTACATATATATATATATATATATATATATATATATATATATATATATATATATATATATATATATATATATATATGTGTGTGTGTGTGTCTGTGTGTGTGTGTGTTTGTGTATATATATATATATATATATATATATATGTATATATTTATATATATATATATTTATATATATATATTTATACACACTCTCTATTGTGATGAATATATGTATAACCTAAAGTACATATGCAGACAACACTGCAGAGAATGACATAAATAGTTATTTGTGAATAAAAGTATGCTGAAGTGTTGCTTGTCCATTTGTGAGTAAAGATGTGTGTGTAAAGGTGTGTGTTTGTAATACACATTCACAGGTTACTCCATATCACAAGTAATATATTTTACTTATTTATATGTGTGTGTGTGTGTGTAAATATATATATATATATATATATATATATATATATATATATATATATATATATATATATATTAGGGATGTAACGGTATTGTAAATACCGTCATACCGCAATATTAATTTTTTTCGATATTACCGAAGTCGCATGACTCGGTAAAACTATAGGTCTCCTGAGAAAATTTGCTCAGGCGAATGAAGCGAACGGGACGTAGCTGAAACTTCATTTCCCATCAGCCCCGGCGTGGCCATAATCCTTTGCGGTCTGTTGTCGCTACAGATCCAGTTATGCGGAAATGGAGTGTGCTGCTAGTAGCGGAGATGAAAAAAAGATGGAAATGATCGAACCTAAAGCGGGTGTTGTCGCCGCGCGCGTGCTGAATAGCGGTGCTGTCGCGCGCGTTCTGATCAGCTGTGTTGTGGCGCGCGTATTGTAAAGCGCCGAGGGGGGGTTGAGCGCGCATATTCAAGAGAGGTGTTGTCGCGCGCCTACTGAAGGGCTGGACTGGACGGAGGTTGTGTCGCGTCGCGGGGGCACTTTTGATCGTTTTGGAAGGGCATTTTCTATCCAAGACTAAAAAGGGCATGTGCACTGCACAGGTTGAGCCCTATGTGTGCACGTGCCTGCAAGTTGGGGAATACGACTAATAAAAGTCATGGGGACTGCAGAAACACAGCACACTGTTCAGATTGATTCAGACATTGACTTGTACCGCAAAGAGACCTCTATCTCACTCATGATTTGTCTTCTCAAGTGGGGGAAAGACAATGCACAATGTTACCCCACTGCTGTCAACCTGGGCCAAGTCATATCTCTCTTGTTCCAGAAACCTCAGTACCAAATGAGAGGGTTTTTTTCTGTTGCAGGGGACATTGTAAATACCCAGAGATACCAGCTTTTACCAGATTATAATTATATGATAATTTTCCTTTAAACCCATCTCTATCTAAGTGAGTGAGTGATTAAATGTTGAATGTGATGAGTTTTCAACAATACTAAATTGAAACTTTATTTTTTTACATGGTTTAATATTTTTTTGTTATTAAAATTGAAGTTAGTGTTTCAAAGCTTACAGATAGATGGCTAATTTGTATGTCATTGACACTTTTGGCACTTTTTTTGGAGTATTTTCAAAAGTTTTTTTTTTCCTGTAAATGATTCAATAAATACCGTACCGTGACATTCATACCGAGGTATTACCGAACCGTGAAATTCTGATACCGTTACATCCCTAATATATATATATATATATATATATTTATTTATACACACTCTCTGTTGTGATGAATATATGTATAACCTAAAATATGCATAGAATGCATTTAGAAACAGTTGAGTTTTTCCCTTCCCTCCCTCACATTGTTTTTTCCCACTGCTTCTGCAGTTTATCTCACCCATTCTACTCATACGAGTCAGGTGTGTGTCTGCAGCCAGGGGCGGACTGGCCATCTGGCTGGACCATTTTTTAAAATGTGGGCCGGTCAGTTTTTTTTTAACATTTATTTTTTATATGTTCTGTTTTTACATGCAGGAAGCTTTTATCCCAAGCAAGATGTGAATATTATGATGACGATGATGATGGTAATAATAGTAATATTAATAGTAAATGTTAAGCATTTGGCCCAATCTGTGATGGCTGGCTGGCTTGGCTACCAAAAAGCTCAGAAAAAGCAAAAAAAGGGCTCTAAAATCAGACGCTGCCAAATGCATAAAGTTATCTGAAATATTTTCGAAAAGTTTAAATTCGTCCGATGCATTGGAGGACAGTAGCGCCATAGAGGAGGTAAGAAGAAAACAGAAAATATACTTTGTCATTACACTAACATACACTAGGTCATATTGACGCCATTCACACTCCTTCTGACAGTTTTTGACAGGTACCTACACTGTGCTTAACAGTAAGCTTAGTGTAGAACTCCCGTACATTTTAAATTGTCATTATAATGTGAGATTTACGGTATACAAACTGCTGTATGCTACTGTACTAGCAATGTAGTCTAACATGCAAAAAAAAACCTATAGCTATAGCCATAATACTGGCATTTGTAGTGAACTCTGAATACATAGCT